CTCTCGCCTCAGCCTCCCAAGTAGCTGGGACTACAGGTACCTGCCACAATGCCTGGCTATTTTTTGTTGCAGTTGTCATTGTTGTTTAGCTGGCCCAGGCTGGGTTCTAACCCGCCAGCTCTGGTGTACGTGGCCGGCACTGTAACCAGTGTGCTATGGGCATCACAGGCATGTTGTTAACAAAATCATCCCCTATTGTTAACATCTTACATAAGCATAGCATTTGTCAAAATGAAGAAACCAGTGGTGATCCATTACTATTGACTAAACTCCAGACTTGATTCATATTTCACCAGTTTTCCCATTAATACCTTTTTCTTTTTTGTTGCAGAATCCAATCCAGGACCCCACATTGCGTTTAGCAGGGCATCTTTTTAAAATTTGTTTTGATTCCTACCTGAGTGTTGGATGTCAGATGCCTCGTATCCTCTTTTTAAAAACATACTGGCCGTGCGCAGTGGCTCACACCTGTAATCCTAACACTCAGAGGCCGAGACAGGTGTATTGCTTGAGCTCAGGGGTTTCAGACAAGCCTGAGCAAGAATGAGCCCTTGTCTCTAAAAATAGCTGGGTGTTGTGGCGGGCACTTGTAGTCCCAGCTACTTGGGAGGCTGAGGCAAGAGGATCACTTGAGCCCAAGAAACTGAGGTTGCAGTGAACTATGATGCCCTAGTACAGCACTCTGCCCATGGCAACAAAGTGAGACTCTGTTTCGAAAAACAAAAACACCCAAGAAATAATTTTGTTGAGACATAATCCCATGCCATTCAATTCACTTTTTTTTCTCTTTTTAGAGACAGAGTCTCACTTTATTGCCCTCAATAGAGTGCTGTGGTCTGTGGTGTCACAGCTCACAGCAACCTCCAACTCCTGGGCTCAGGTGATTCTCTTGTCTCAGCCTCCCAAGTAGCTGGGACTACAGGCGACCACCACAATGCACAGCTATTTTTTTTGTTGCAGTTTGCTGGGGCTGGGCTGGAACCTGCCACCCATGGGTATATGGCGCTGGCACCCTACCCACTGAGCCACAGGCACTGCCCCATTCAATTCACTTTTAAGAGATAAAATTCAGGCCTGGGCTCACACCGGTAATCTCAGCACTTGGGAGGTGAATTGCCACGGTGGGTATTGAATTCCGTAGGTGTTGTGGTGGGCACCTGTAGTCCCAGCTACTCGGGAGGCTGAGGCAAGAGGATTGCTTGAGACCAAGAATTTGAGGTTGCTGTGAGCCGTGACACCACAGCACTCTGCTGAGGGTGAGAAAGTGAGACTCTCTCTCAAAAAAAAGATAAAATTCAGTGAGTTTTATTATATTCACAGAGTTGTACAACTATCACCTCTTTCTAGTTTCAGAACATTTTCATCATCCCCCAAAGAAATTCTGTCCCCATTAGCAGTCACTCCCCAGTCCGCCTCCCCCAGATGCTGACAGCCATTAAGTTACCTTATGTGTGTGTAGACCCGCATTTTCTGGATATTGTATATAATGGGATCATCCTTGTGGCCTTTTGTGTCTGGCTTCCTTCACTCAGCATCATGTTTCAAGGTTCATCCATGTTGTGGCAGGTGTCAGTGCTTCATTCCTTTTTATGACTAAATAATATTCTGTGACACGGATGTACTATATTTAGATTATTCGTTAGTTCATAGACATTGGGTTGTTTCCATTTTGGGACTATTAAGAATAATGCTGCTATGAACATTCACGTATAAGTTTTTGCATGGATGTATGTTTCAATTCTGCATATGGAAATTTAGGTATACATATACATTTATCTAAGAAGGGAATTCCGGGATCACATGGTAACTCCAGAGTCACCTTTGTATTTTCCTTGCCACAGGCCTGAAATCAGCAATTTTTCCAAAAATCCTTGGTTCTGTAAGTAAAGAATATTATTTAAAAACCAGGAGCTGGCTGAGTACAGTTACTTTCACCTATAATCCTACCACTTTAATAGGCAGAGATGGGAGGATCACTTGAAGCCAGGAATTTGAGACCATCTGGACAACATATTGAGACACTTATCTCTAAAAAAATGAAAAAAATTAGCTGGGCATGGTAGTGGACACAACTGTATCTCCTGCTACTCAGGAGGCTGAGGTGGGAGGATCACTTGAACCCAGGAGTTCAAGGTTTCAGGGAGCTATGATCATAGCACTGTGCTCTAGCATGAGTGACAAACTAAGACCCTGTCTCAGAAAAAAAAGTAGCCCAGTGTGGTGGCTCACACCTATAATCCTAGCGCTCTGGGAGGCTGGAGGCAGGAGTATGGCTTGAGTTCAGGAGTTTAAGACCAGCCTAAGCAAGGGTGAGACCCCATCTCTGCAAAAAAAAAAAGCCAGGTATTTAGGTGCCTTGTCACAGCTACTCAGGAGGCTGAGGCAGGAGGATCACTTGAACCCAGGAGTTTGAGGTTGCTGTGAACTGGGCCAATGCCATGGCAGCCTAGCCTAGGCAACAGAGTGAGACTCAGTTTCAAAAAAAAAAAAAAAGATTTAGGAACAGGGTATGCTCACTACCTCCCGGGTTCAGTGGACAGAGCTACAAAATTGATGTGCATATGCACACACACCCCTTGCCTATTTCTGTGTCAAAATTCTGGAGTCTGTACCAGTGTCTCCAGTTGCAGTCCAACACTGCTGGGTTTATTCTAGTGTTTTCTATTTGGGGAGTTTGGGTCCTTCCTATGACAGGGTAAAATCTGACTGCTATCATCCCCAAGGCAAAGATTAATTCTTGGCTCATTCCTAGAGTGTACAAATTTGGGGATAGCTAACCCATGCTTCTCTGAAAGGAAAGAATTCAATATTTGCTTACAAATCTTTTTGTCTTTAGGCTTCAGGCAAAGAGTTCAAACACTGTGTTCAAAAACTACTCCTGCCTGACTCGGCACGCATAGCACAGTAGTTACGGCACCAGCCACATACACCAAAGTTGGTGGGTTCGAACCCAACCCAAGCCTGCTAAAGAACAATGACAACTATAACAAAAAAATAGCCAAGCGTTGTGGCAGGCGCCTGTGGTCCCAGCTACTTGGGAGGCTGAGGCAAGAGAATAGCTTAAACCCAAGAATTTGAGGTTGCTGTGAGTTGTGATGCCAAAATAAGACTCTGTCTCAAAAACAAATAAAAAAAAAAATACTCCTGCCTATAATCCTAGTACTCTAGGAGGCAGAGGTGGAAATATCACTGAAGCAGGAGGAGTGCCTGAACCTAGGAGTTTGAGGTTGCTGTGAGCTATGGTGACACTACCATACTCTACCCTGGGTGATAGAGCAAGTGACCCTATCTCAAAAAAAGGAAAAAGCTTAGGTTAGTTTTACAAGGAGTGACTTAAAAACATTTTGGAAGCTGGACATTGATTCATGCCTGTAATCCCAGTGACTCAGGAGGCTGAGGTGAGAGGATTGCTTGAGGCTAGGAATTAGAGGTCAGCCAGGGCAATACAGCAAGACCCTGTCTTTACAAAAATAAAGAAATTAGCCAGGTGAATTGGTGCATGCCTAATAGTCCCAGCTACTTGGGAAACTGAGGCAGGAGGATCACTTGAACCCAGGAATTTGAGGTTGCTATGAGCTAGGCTCAGGCTGTGGCATTCTACCTGGGAGATAGAGCTAGACTCTGACTAAAACAAAAAATATAATGGTCGTTATGTTTTTAATGTATTTTAGAGGAAAAATTTAGATAGCTAGCATATGAAGTCTGATAATTTCATGGACATTGTTACTTGGAATGAGGCTAAATTTATTTAAGGGAAGGAAGTATTAAGTGAGTTTGAGGAAAATATTAAGTAAATGCACTGTTTACTTCCCAGCACTGTTGGGAAATTGGAGCTGACCATGTTGGGGTGTCCAGCCCTGAGGTTGGAGGAAGTTGTTTCCTGCCTCCAACGTCATGATTTTCTTTCAAATTCATGGTTTTTATTTTACCTTCTCTCTCTCTCTCTCTTTTTTTTTTTTT